TAGGAATCTTAAGAATTCTGTCAAATCCAGCGATTTCACGTCATCGCGCGGTGCACTCGCGATGCTCTGTCATGCACCCAGGCCGCGAATCCTGTGCAAAAAATACAACAAAGAGCACACTCGCGCTTTCATGTCAGAATCCTACCGAACACCGTGTGTTTGCAAGCATTTCAACATAAAAACATCAAAAACCAAATGCTTTTTCACAAATATGCTTTGGGGTGTCCTGTCAGACCGTCGGGCTTCCTCCGGCCACCTCTGGCTTCCTGCGGTGTACCGGGCCATTCTCGACTCGTCTGGCAATGCGTGCGCGGCATTCAACACGCGCTCGCCAGTTCCCGTCGGCAAACGCCATCGCGGCCGCATCAGCTGTACCAAACCGGCTGGCCGGTGTGACTTCGGCCCCCAGTTGTGCCAGCTTTGCTTCTTATGTTGTGGGAGGGCGGGTGGGAATGGGCATGCCATGCTTGACTCGCTCGAGCTGGCTAGCTTGACTCCTACTCCTACTCCTACTTTCATTGTTTTGACGCTAGCCGAACGCCTACCGAGCTCCTTGCTCTGGTTCCTGCTCCTGGATCCTGCTCGGCTCCCTGCTCTATCCTTATTCCTTATTAGAATATACTCTTACTCCCCCCTCAGGCCGGCAGATAGCGGGCGCATCCGGGTGGTCCCATCCTAACCTGTAAAAAACAAAACAAAATCATCATGTTTCTTATTTTTTTCCTCTCGACATGGACGTCCTGTCGTCCACGGCGATAATCCATTGCAAAAAATACCACAAAGAGCACACGCGCGCGTTCATGTCAGAATCCTACCGAACACCGTGTGTTTGCAAGCATTTCAACATAAAAACATCAAAAACCCAATGCTTTTTCACAAAAAAATGTACAAATTTCCCGCCCGGGCTCTCTTGCTGAAATCATAGGAAAACCATAGGAATCTTAAGAATTCGGTCAAATCCAGCGATTTCACGTCATCGCGCGTTGCACTCGCGATGCTCTGTCATGCACCCAGGCCGCGAATCCTGTGCAAAAAATACCACAAAGAGCACACTCGCGCGTTCATGTCAGAATCCTACCGAACACCGTGTTTTTGCAAGCATTTCAACATAAAAACATCAAAAACCCAATGCTTTTTCACAAAAATGCTTTGGGGTGTCCAGTCAGACCGTCGGGCTTCCTCCGGCCACCTCTGGCTTCCTGCGGTGTACCGGGCCATTCTCGACTCGTCTGGCAATGCGTGCGCGGCATTCAACACGCGCTCGCCAGTTCCCGTCGGCAACCGCCATCGCGGCCGCATCAGCTGTACCAAACCGGCTGGCAGGTGTGACTTCGGCCCCCAGTTGTGCCAGCTTTGCTTCTTATGTTGTGGGAGGGCGGGTGGGACTGGGCATGCCATGCTTGACTCGCTCGAGCTGGCTAGCTTGACGCATACTCCTACTCCTACTCCTACGCCTATCCTTATTCTTTATTGTAATATACTCCTACTCCCCCCTCAGGCCGGCCATTAGGGGCCGCATCCGGGGGGTCCCATCCTAACCTGTAAAAAACAATATGAAATCAACATTTTTCTTATTCTTTCCTCTCGACATGGACGTCCTGTCGTCCACGGCGATAATCCATTGCAAAAAAATACCACAAAGAGCACACGCGCGCGTTCATGTCAGAATCCTACCGAACACAGTGTGTGTTGCAAGCATTTCAACATAAAAACATCGAAAACCCAATGCTTTTTTCACAGAAATTGTACAAATCTCCCGCCCGGGCTCTCTTGCTGAACTCATAGGAAAACCATAGGAATCTTAAGAGTTCTGTCAAATCCAGCGATTTCAC